TCCCTTCAGCCTCTTCAGCTCCTTCCTTAAACACTCTGGTCTTTCTGGGTGCCAAAGCCGGGCACCCAGCTTTTCCCATGCAGTGTCTAGGAAGACCGGCTCTTTGCTCAGGGCTGGAAGTTCCCTTAAGCAGTGGCCTACAAGCAGATGTGACAATATTCAGCACCAAAATCTGTTTTGTGGATGTAGGACTTAGCTTCTTTGTGGCTCAGTTCCATAGAAGTGGCTCAGTTCCATGTCTGTGCAATGGGAATAGCAGCCCTGCCACCCTCCTCAACAGGAATTGGGCTGTGAGAGGCTCAGATACTACCATAACTGGGGGGAGGGCAGGGGCATAAAAGGTTACAAAAAAATTGACTTTCAAAAGCCACGGAGAAGCATTACAGTAGCAACGGGAATGTGAGATCACAAAGGAACTTGGTTCTTTGGGGAGATGGTGTCCAGGCCACTCAGCCTGGATTAGCATCCCTGGGGGCCCCTAAGGCATTGGGAGCCAGCCTTTTAGGCAGGTGTGCCATAAATTAGCCTCACGCCCTCCCCAAGTGCCACTCTCATCCTCATCCCCTGCCCAATCAGCTGCTCTGCCTTTTGCTCCCTGCTCTACCTGCTACTGTGCTGGCTGTCCCCTCCCCAGTCTACCACATGTCCCACACAGAGGTGGCCCATACCACCTGCTGCAGGCTGGCAACTCCTGCCCTTGGGGAATGGTCAGCTTCTGCCATCCTCCTTCAAAATACAGCACATTTTGGAGCTCTACTTCCATGCAGATTCCCTGCTGCTGTCATCTCATCTGATTCTCCTCCCCTGGCTAGAACTATCTTCACCAGTATTTTGCACTGCTGGAGTTCGGCAAAGAGCAATGACATCCTCTGGGAAAGGGGCCAGGGGACCAAGGATCCAATCTCTATTTCCTGGCACTGCTAAGAAAGAGGAATGATGGGCTGGCAAATCTGTTCCCACATTTAATCATTTGCCTATAGGCCCTAATTACTTGGAAAATTACAATTAAGAGGAGATGAAAAGGAGATGAACAGGAACTAAGTTTTGAAAATGGCCTTGGGCAGGGACTGTTTTCCACCCAAACCAATATTAATAGCTGCATAGTGTTAACAGCTGCATTGATAACATCATGGAGAGGTATATTAGAAATGTCTAATGAAGAGGCAGTTACAAATGAGCTAACTATAGAACTAGGCCAAATCACAAATCTGCTTATTAACTGGGCAGGATCCCCTCCAACCTTCCCACACCCAGTTGGTTCAGGAGAGGTTCTGAATAGTTCAGTCCTTTAGAGTGGAGGGTCTTGGTCAGGAGAGGCTCCCAAGGGGCCCGGAGAAGGTGAGAGACCTGCAGGAGTAACTCAGGTGAACCACTCAAGCTCTCATAGCCATTAGAGTGGAGGTCACAAGTAGGAGATTCCTGCAAGACCTAGAAGGCATTTCAAGCCAGGTGGCTCCATTTTAGTGTATCCTGGAAACAAGATGAGAGCTGCTTTACCCCCAAGCCAGCCCAGCATTGCTTCTCTGGCCACCGGCCCTCCAATGAAACCTGACACAAACTTGGCCTTGACAAAAGAGTCCTCAGTGGAAAGGCTGTGAAATGTACTCAGGGCCAGGAGACCACCATTGGTTTAAATCAATGGTTCTCAATGTTTTTTGTACCTGGACCCATTTGTAAACATCAATGGTCAGTCCCAGCCCAGTAAATAGTTTAAGTAGCTAGCCTCCTGCCAGCCTGCAAGGGAAAACTTGTGGTTTCCCACATTTTTCTCCTTTAAAGGAGAAAATCTGTGATTTTCCAAGTTTTTCAGTGATTGTTCATGACCCTTCCATATATTCTTGCGACCCACTTTTGGATTGTGACTCACAGGTTGAGAAACATTGGTTTAAATGACTTGGAAGTGTCTCAGCCCAGTTCTCAGCCAAACACATCACAAAACCCAAACTGCAGAGGATGCTGCACTGGGCCCTGAAGATGGAACTGACAGAGAACTGACTCCTTTTTTTAGTTCTGGAGATGACCTTTCCACTGGCATGGGAGGTAGCAGGTAGAGGGGAAGCCAGCACAGTAAGAGCCTAGGCAGCACCTGCTTTGGGGTTAAACAAAGGGCTGGATGTGGCAGGAGGGGAGGTCCATAGCCCCTCTCTAACCGGCATCAGCAAGTCCCTTACCCTCGTTGCACTTGCAGATGAATGGCTTCCTCTCCTCACAGCGTGCGTCCCTTAGAAGTCCAGTCCCTGTGTCCAGCCACACACAATCCTTCAGGCCACCATCAGCCAGGTCATCTCTCAGGTGCCTACCCCGAAACACAGAGAAGAAGCAGTTACTGCCATGGTGTCTCAAGCACTGGGCAACATCAAGACTGGGCTAACATATTCTGTGCGCTGGGAACTGTCCCCTGTACCCAGTTCTCCCTGCCATTTCCCCCTTGTGAACACCTGTTGTGCAAGCTCCCTATTGCAAGGCCCTTCTCCCTGGGGTACTATGGTGGGAACTCTCAGGAAGCCCTGGCTTGTCTTCACCCTTGATGACACCAAGGCTGATGGGCACAATGTGCCCCCAGCATCATGGCTGAGTACCTGCACCAATACCTCATCTCTGCAATGGCTGGCTGAGGCAGCAGGCTGTGCTGGGCTCCCTCTGGCTGCCCTAGAGGCTCCCCATCCAGCCAGAAGCAGCACACTGACAGCCTACTCATCCAGACTAGAGCCTGCTCAGCTGTTCTTCCCAGGTACAGACCTTGATCCCCCCACTACCTAACCCGGGGACTTTTTACACGCTCCCTAAAATCCACAAACAAGGGAACCCTGGCAGACCTATTACATCCAACCATGGGACCCTAACTGAGGAAATATCAGGTTTCATTGAATCAATCCTAAAACTGCTTGTCACCCACAGAGCAAGTTTTGTACAAGACACTACAGACTTTCTACGGAAACTTAAAAACATAGACCACCTTCCCAGCAACACACTCCTAGCCACCATGGACGTTACCAGCATATATACCAAGATACCACACCAGGATGGCATCCAAGCCTGCCTTACTTATCTACAGAAACAAGATTACAACTCAGAATACAGACCCAAAGATATTACTG